CTTTTCTATTTTATTGAAAAATTAGTATAAATTTCCTAAATACGCAAACATTATAATTAAAAAACATGTCTTTGAATATTTATAAAAAAAGTATTTTACAATGTTGTCTAATTCTTTTTCTCTCATGTATCTTATAATCAATTTTTTTTTGTAAAATTTTGCAGACAATACAATTATTTTAATCTATATATTTCATAATCATTAATAAGAATATTATTTACGAAATAAATAATTTAATAATAATTTTTCAATAAAATAGAACATTTTTAAATAGAAAAGAAATGACACGTTTGGTAAAAAAAACATACCACGCACCTTCCTTGTTTATGTCGACCGTCGGTTCGTTTGGTCTTTATACTTTTGTCGCATACCTACGTGCTTATCTCTGTTTATTCTTTTACCCTTCTATCGCTCCTACCTACAAACATTTCGAGTATCGAAAGAATATGTGTGTTTACGCTTTGTAGTATGCAGTCGCACACAAACACACACATATACAACCAGGAGCGATAACTACGAAGCATAGCATAAAGAGGAGACCGAGAATAGGAAAAACTGTATAGCTATATTCCGTCTCATTCCCTCGCAGTCTAAATCCTATGTTCGTCTCTTTTTCTCTCATTATTTAGTATGGCAACCGTTTCATAGCTTCGTTACATAGCTTCGTTTCCGTTTATTTACTTTTCAGATCACTCCCATTCTAAAGAAGTTTTCGCTTCAAAAAAGACAAGCATAGAGATAGTTTATTATTATTTAAGATACTAAACATTATTCTAAAAATATGCATTAACTAAGTACAAAATTAAAATTTAATTTGTATCATTATTTATAAAAATAATACGCCTGTAGGTACACAACCCTCCAGACACACTTGAAAATGTTGCTTGCGAGCGCCATCTGTTGGAACATTTTATTATTAATAATAGCAAGTACATACTTGAACGTCATATATAAAGCCCAACTTCGAACTTAACTGGTGTGGTTCCCGTATAGGGAGAAAAGGTGCTAGTGTATCACGTCGGTAAGGTAGACGCATATCGCTACACCGGTAAAATATGTGTCGCTATCTAATCGGAATATATATATTCATATATAACCCGGAGAAGCACTTTCGTTGAGTCAAGTCGTCGAATTTCTACGGTTTCAATTACGAATCTTTTCTCCTGTGGCGTCTCGCACCAGCGCAGTGTCGACACCTCTCGGCCAACAGCGCGCAGCTGTAGCAGCGCGCGCAGGAAAAGTGCTGACACCTCTCGGCCGCCAGCACTAACGTACGCAAGCACCTCGTGACACGGTTCCGCAGGGGCATCTGATTGGCCTGACCACGCCTTTGATTGGTCAGAGCGGAAGAGTGACCACTGCGACCGTTGCTCTCTCTACTTCCGGATGCCTGGATCGCCGTGGCGGTGCATACGCAGGAAAAATATCATCACTTCTACTTCGTCCGTCGCACCGTCCGGTCGCACTCTTCTCACCGCGCTCTTGTGTAAAAAGTATTTTCTGTGCATCTTCTGTACGTGACCACGTGGCACACCACGCCGATAAATAAAATATCGTCCCACGGGATCAAAAATATAATTGGAAATTTCTTTCCTCCGCACGGAGTCTCATTGGCCATTCCTTTCTCCGCGGCCCGTTCCTCGCGTTAAGGAGAACGCACCTTAACGCGCCTAGTAACCTAGGGAAAGAAAATCCCAAACTCCTTTTGTAATTTGATTATACGCACGCATATAGGCACACAGGCACGCACACAACGTTTATCGATTCTAACGATTTTTGAGTAATATCATAAACGTAATAAGAAACATGTATAATCCTAGCTTGTATTCGATATTAATGTTAGTCTTTGTTACTTCAGTTTATACAGCTATATTATTTACAATATTATATTTTGTATTGTTATATTATAATTTCGATTTTAGACATTTATTCTGAAAGTAGTCTAATTCCATTAATGTTCGAATCAAGATATTGAAGGGTTTTCGTTTCAATGCAATTAAAAATATACGTACAAGATACAAACGAGTTATACTGCTTAAGTGTATCTAAAGGTATTAAATTTATAGTTCCTATTAAAATAATGCCAATTATTAAGTGAATAATATGCGTTTTCTTACCAACAATAGAGTTAGGCCACTTTCAAAATAAACGGTTCAACTATACGATAAAAACAATAGCTGAACCCGAAACTAAATAACTGTTGATAGAACCAATTCAAAATCACTCGTCTAAAATTTAAACATAAAATAGGTTAATCAATATTAATAACAGAAATTTAACTATAGAAAGCGAAACAGAAACCGACTCAGAAGTCTAGCAAGAATGGATGAACGCCAAATCATCTACAATCAAAAGTTCAAAAAATCGTAAAATAAACAAACTCACACAACAATATAACAATTCTTCCGCTTCAACTACAACAAAATGATTACAAGACATACCTATAAGAAACTATTATAATTTATTTCAAGATTCAACAGAACCACAAAATATTGCAGACAAGATAGAAAAAGAAAAAGTAGTAAAACTACCACCTATATACATAGACGCGGAAATCATCGACCCACTGTCCGAGTTACTAGATGAATTTGCTGGACAAAATAATTACATAATTAAGCAACTCAAAGACAATAAAATTAGAGTTCAGGTATATATTAAGTCTCGGTACGTTTAATGATAACTTTTGACACGCTGCAACCGATTTTATAAATAAGAGAATTGTACAGTTCAAAAATATAATAGTATAAAGTTATGTTTTGGATGTTGTTGAATTTCTTGAAGGTGGTCTGCTGGAATCTCCACCATCAGACTTCTTGCTAGTGCTGAAAAAAAAAGTAGAGTAACTATGTTGAAAATTATAATTAAAATAATTAAAAAGTTTATAATATAAATAATGATCAAATAATTGAATTAATTACCTGCTGCTTCTGTTACCTCTTTTAAACATGTCAGATAATTTCTTTTTTAATTTTTTCTTTTCTTCTTTGACATCTTCATTAATGCTCATTTCAGAGCCTGAAGTCTATAAGGATTGAAATTTAAGTATTTACATTTTATTTACGACATAGTTAATAAAAGTAAAATATGATTTTTTTTTACTTACTCGATAGTCTAAATTCATGTTTGCTTCGTCAACACTACTAGATTTAACAAGTTTAGTTCGAATTTTTCCGATTATACCTTTATTGTATTTTTTCTCTCGATGTAACATTTCACTCTTCGTGGAATCGCCAGATAAACGACTAATATAAATAACGAAGACAAAATAAAGTAATAGAATTCATGTGATATTAATTATTTAATATATTTAAAATATATATACCTATCCACACTAGAATCCCGTTGTGAAGTAAATGCTCGTGGATTGGATTCCAACGATTGTAAACTGGACATGTTACTATCAGTACCCCAAACATTTTGAGACTAAAAAAACATATTATTTTATAAATATTTAGTATTATTGTTATATGATATATATGAAATATTCATAAAAATGGCACATTTTATCAATTGCCTATTATTTAAATAATTATAATAGTAATATTAAATATAACATAGGGATAATAATATTATTTCTTACATCTATGCTTCCTCCTCCTGTTGTTTGTTCTAAAGATAAGCTTTTTACTTTCAAACGTGGTTTGGAAGGATTAGGACTCGTGCCTCTTCTCGTTGTATTATCTACAGATGTTGATCTATAATTAAGAATATATTATTAAAAAAATGTAGTGTATAGGATCAATCTTTTAAAAAAAGAAACATTTTTTAATAGTGGTAATAATTCACCTTTTACTAAGTTTCATCAACTGTTTAGCACTCATGTTATCCAAGGTTTTCTTTGATTCTTTAAGCTCTTTTGCTACATCCATTAATTTCTTTATGGTGTATTCTAATTTTTCTGTTCTATTTTCCAAATGCTGCATAGAACCTACATATATGCATAAACATATTATTTATTATTATATATATTAAACAGATGTTATTACAAAAAAAAAACAGAATTGTAAAATACCGGTTTTATCTTTAATATCATTTTTCGTATCGAGCATAGGTGATGATTCTCTTGATTTAGGACCCTATAAAAAAATATATATTTATGTATATTTTACTGTTATATATATATATAATAATAGAATTAATTTGATTATATTATATACTTTTAATCTTCTCGGTGGTGTTGGCGTGTATATTTCTGATTTTTCTGAAGTATACGCATTATTTAATTCTGGAAATAGTTTTTGAAGATCATCTACTTGTCTTAACAACATATTTATATTCTTCACTTCGGTATTATCTAATTCTCGTTGACGTAATATTTCATTCTTCAAGTCTTGTCTTTCTTTTTCATGACGTTCCTTTTCGCGTCTCATTCTCTCGTTACTTGTTCTTAATTTCGCGTGAGCATCTCGCAGTTCCAATAAATCACATTGTAACTATTTAAAATATAATAAAATATTGTAAAGATTAATAAAAGAATATTTGAAAAAATAAACTTATAAAATTTGATTTTACTTCTATTAATTTTTTCTTATTTTCTTCTTTTTCTTCGTCAAATGCTTTCTTTAATTGATCTTGCTTTCTTTTATTTTCAAGACGTTCCTTAGCACGTTCTCTTTCAATCTATAATGCAAAATTCATTTTAAAATATTCATTATTTTCAATATTATTAAAATTAAAATTTTCAACCTCGAACAATGTTTGCCTCAAATCTCTTGCAAGAGTAGCTGTTTCTTCTAATAATCTTTGTTGTTCTTTTCTTTCCTTTTGCCAAGCTAATTCCATACGTACTTTAACGCCTGGAATTTTTGATCGTCCACTCGAAAGAATACGTTCTTCTTCAAGCTGAAATTTGTAAATACATATAATTTTAAAAATATTCTTAATGAAATAATTTCTTTTCTTATATATTACTGACCTCATTAATTCGAGATTGCATTTCAGATAATTTAATATTCCAAGCTGATTTCTCGGAAACCAATGACGTCTTCAATCTAGAATATTCAAGTTTAGTTTCTGAAAGTTCATCTTCCATGCAACTAATTTGTTGCTCTAAAACTGTAATATTAGCCTTAGAGGATTCTTCATCCTACAACAAAATTTTGGTTACATCTTTTCTTTTCAAAATATATACATATTTTATAACTTTTTTATATTTCATAACTAAATACCAACCTCATCTGATTTTTCAGAATTTGTATAAGATTGTTTACGTTGTCTAACTGACTTTAGATCTGCAATTGTCCTTTGGGCACCTTCCAACATATGCTTATACGTGTCTCGTTCACGTTTATAACGTGACAATTGATTTTGTAATGATTGCATTTCATCACTAATTGCTGTAATTCTGTGTTCATAATGCATTTTACATTGTGCTATATCCGCTTTTTTCGCTTTCTCAACATTGGTCAAATTAGTTTTTAATTTCTGTATTTCTGATTCAAGAGACGTTGTATCGGCTGATAACACTTGATGAGCTTTGGATACAGCATCGTAATCTTTTAATTTATTAACTAAATCTTCGTTCTATAAGAAAGAAAAATATAAGTTTATAAACATAAATAATTTTTTTTTACCAGTTATTAATTATTCACTTACTACTTCTCTTGCATTATCTAATCTTTTCAACATTACATCATTCTCTTTTTTCAGGCTATTAATTTCAGTTCTTAAGTCATTAATTAAAGGCTTATGGGATAATGCTTCGTATTCTTGAATACGTTTCTGTAATAATAATTATATATATATATATATATATATATATATGATAACTATTGATGAATATATACCATTAAATAAAAATCATATTTTGGTTACCTCAAAGCTAGATTTTTCTATTTGCCATTTATTTTCTTTTTCTTTTATTAAATCTTGAAGTGATTTTATTTCTGTTTGATTTTTATTTAAATCATTTTTATACTGCAATAATATACTGTAATAATGAGAGTAAATATTACTACTAAACTAAAAAGAACAATTCATGCATTATTATGTAATTTCATATTTAATTGATTGAATTTACCTGTTTACAGATTGATTCTCTTCTTCAATCTTTTCTTTTAAAACTACTAATGCTTTATTCTTTTCATTTAATTTATCATAGTCCGCATTCATTTTTTCTATTTCATTTGTAAGCTCTAAGAAAGATACAGTGTTAATATTTAAATTTAAAAAAAAGCAAAGAAAAACTACCATAAATAATTCCAATTTTCGAACTGTGACAAAGAAAACTTACGTACTTGAAATTTTATCAGAATAATTTGCTTTCATTTCTTTAATTTTAGTAGCATCTAAACCACTTTTTTCTAAAGATGTTATTTTGCTTTTAAGAGATGCTATTTCAGACTCTTTAGTAGATTTTTCTTTTTTTATTTCAGCAGTTAATTTGTCTTTATCTTTCTTAACATTTGTAAGCTCCATTTTTAAATCCGCTATTTGTGTTGCGGATGAACGCCTAAGACTTTCCAATTCTTCTTTTAAATGTTTTGCTTCCTTGTCAAGTTGATTTTTGGTCTGTTCTATCTGTTATATAATTTCATAAAATAATATGTAAAATATAGTTACAAAACACTTATAAGAAATGATTACCTAAAGATTTTACGAAATGAAAAAATAAAGTAAACAATAAAATAATAATAGTATTTACATTTGATATTGTTTCTGTCATATTTGCTTCCCGTTGAGTACACGATGATAAATCATTTTGTATTTCAGTGCACTTCTTCTTTTCTTGAGATAATTCTTTCTTCAAATCATTAGCTGTTGTCTCTAATCTTTTAATCTTGTTTGTATACTCTTTTTCAGATGACCTTATGGCTTCTATGCTTAAGCAAAAGTTAATTAAATTATTGTATATATTATATATCGATGTTTTACTATATTATAACAATAAATTTTTAAATATGCAGTAAAAGAAGACAATACACTAATACAACAAGAAAGGATTACACTACAGTTATAATTCAATCTCACCAGTATCTTTCTTTAACTTTTCCAATTCTTTATAAATTTTAAGCTTTTCAAACGATAATGCTAATAATTCTGACTTAAGTTTTTCTTTTTCCTCTTCCCATGCTTTTTTTTCTGTTTCTCTAGACGTTACAGTATAATCCAATTTTTTTTTCACTGTAAATTTAATTTATATATTTAAATAGATTATTAACATATAAACTTATATCTTACATGAAAATTCTTACTATTTTGAAAATCCATATTCATTTTATCATCTGTTATTTTTCCTTCGCGATGTTTATCTTTATCTTTGTCTTTGTCTTTGTCTTTGTCTTTGTCTTTGTCTTTGTCTTTTTCTTTATTTTTTCCTTTTTCTTTTTCTTTAATCAATTCCTTAGAAGTATCTTCTAATTTTTGTTTTATTAATTCATAATCCCGTAATAGAGCGTCATATTTCATAGTATTCTCATTGTTTTTCTCACGAGTAATATCTATTTCTTTACCATCGTTAATATTAGCAAAAAGTGTAATAATATTATCTGGAAATGAATAATAAAGAGTAAACAAGAATATTGAAATTTGATCTGATAATATATAAATAAATATATACAAATAAAAAAAGAAATAAATAAATAAATAGTAAACCTATTTGTTTCTGCATATCATCCACCGTTTTTTTAAATTGTACTTTCGTTCCAAGTTCTGTAGGTTTTAAATCAGTTCTTTTTTTAGAATCGTTGTTTATTTTCATCAACATCTCCTCTATTTTTCTCACCTACATAAATAGGTTTTAAAATAAAAATCAATCATATATAGTAAAAGATTAAAATATGTATGTTTCAAAAATATTTTACCTCTTGTAATCTTTTTTCAAAATCATTTTTTTCTTTTTGCAATTGTTCTGTTGTTCTTTCTAATTTTCTTAATTTAAATGAAAGAATCCGACTGTTTTTATTTGATTGTTCTAAAGATTTTCGTAAGTTCGTATATTCATTTGCTTGGTCCTCCCTTAAAGACATAAAAATTTCTTTTTTTAATACAGAAATATATGTCTCTTTTGACTTTTAATTATTTTTTTGATTCTATGAATAAAAAGTCAATGGATACCTAAAATTATCTTGCATTTCACATATTTCTTCTTCTAATTCTCGGATTTCTTTTTTCATATCTTCATTTTCATCCATCAAAGATTCGCAAAGAGTTTCTGCTGCTTTTAATTTAGATTTTAAATCTTCCGTTGATTTATCTGTATCACGTCTATTTAACTTATAACGTGCTTCATTTTCTAAGTCTCTTATTTTTGATAATAACATAGACTTTTCTTCTGTAAGAACTAAAATTTATATCTGATGTTAAATTATATTATTATTGTTTTATATAATACTGGAACATTATTAATTATTTATACATTTTATTCATAAATAAAATTTTATAATACTAAATTAATATTATATGGGAGGACAATATTAGAAGGGATCTGAAAGAAATAGAATATGAAGACCGCGAATCAAAGAATCGCGCTCAGGAACGGGAACAATGACGGGATTTGATATTTGCGGCAATGAACTTTCGAGTTCCTAATGCTAACTTATAAAAATAATAATAATAATAATAATAATAATAATAATAATAAATTAATATTATATACCTTTTATTGTCTTTTCTAATTTAATTACTTCACTCACAGATGTTTTATTCGATATTGTATCCATAGTACTTAAACGACGCAGTAATATTTCACTTTTTTCTTTTTCTAATCTCTGACATTTTTCTTTCATTTCATTTAAATCTTTTCTTAATTTTTTAATTTCACTCTTAAATAAACATAATATAAATTAAAATAATAATTTTTATTTTTGTTTGAAAATAACTAATTGCAATAGAAAAATATTACCTCTTCCACGCCATTTTCCAGCCTTTGAATTTCATTTACTGATACAGTTTTCGTAGGAGATTTTTTCACCTAAAATGAAATGTAATATTCGAAGTTTTAATATTATTTGCACAGAAACAATATACAATGAATAAATAAATATACCTGAATAATAAATTCCACATCATTTCCTGCAGTATTTTCATTGTTTTTAATAACTTCTTTGATCTGTAATTTTGATGTTGAATCATATAATTGACTTTTAGAACTAGAATTTTCACCTATTAAAGAAAGCCTTTTATCTTTTGCTGTATTTTTATTCTGCAATTCTGAGACATCATTAAGTTGATTAGCGCTAGTAGAAAAATTAGACGTTGATACAGAATTAAGCGAAGAATCCAAGTTGGATGATCGAAGATCATTTTTGGTCAAATTTGTCGTTGATGCCCAAGATCTCTTTCCATCGCTATAGTTCAATGATATATTATAATAAAAATTCTATTTATTAATATTTTTTGTTTGAATTTAAAATACTCACCGCTCTGATGAACTATGTAATGAAAGATTAGGCGTCGATGATGTTACATCTCTTAAGTTACCTCTTTTTTCACCATGATCTTTGTAATCTCTAGTAAATAAATTCTATGTAAATGTATATGTATAAATGCATTTAACAAAAAGTCGTTAAAAAACGAGAAGAAACATAATGAACGATCTAACGTCATATGATAATAAAATACAATTTCAAATATACGCGCCATTACATACTACAAAATTCTTCCTTACCGACTGTAATTATTATTTTACCGCTTTTTGTTCTTTTTCTTTCAATGAAACTATTTTACCGACCAAATCTTTTCAGTTAAAAAAAAAATTGTTTATATACATTACAGTTATAAAAATAAACTATAATTTTATTTTAGAAAGTCTATAAATTTGATAACGAAAACTAATGTAATTATTTGAAAAAACATAAAGTTTGTTATAATTTTGTTTTTATTTTTCCGCTATGAAATTTCATACTTTAATGTTATATAAATCGTACGTGTATAATAACTATTTGCATTATTTTTGATTAATAACGTTAGATCGGTAAAACTCCTCTATCTTAAGTTAAGATATTCACGTGAAAACTCTGACGCATTTACGTGAACGAATCGTATTTTGGATAAGTTATATATGTCTTTTCTATTCTTAGATTTATGCAACGATAGGATATGTGTTTGTCGAATACTAAATCACTTTAATCTGATAATAAATTATGATAGTTTGTGTATTTGAAAGGTGGTAAAAAAACATGCCATTTATAAATGATTAATTGGTAGATTTATACATATATACGTATATGCATAGTTTGTTACTAATTGAATTTTCTAAATACGTGTAATTAGAAACTAAAGAGTTCTCGAAGGATCTAGTTTAGCTCAATCTGTTTATAGAAATCCGCTGTGACCAGTGACTGCGTACCTTGACAAGTTGGCAACATGAATAATGTAATTACCATTTATATTCAAATATACAAATGAGTTTTGATTATTTTTATTATGATCATTTATCGATCTTCGTTATTTTTTAATAGGGTAACATGCGAAAGAAATAAAATAACTTTATTTTTTACAGTAATTTCTATTTTATTTTATCTAATATATTTTGTTTTTAAATTTAAAAAATAATAATATAAATATATTACCTGAAGCATCGTTTGCATCGTGTTGGCCATCGAACCTGAGGATGGAAACCAAGAGGGCAAAGAGAATCTCCTTTTTTGGAGGAATATGCGTGATGCATTCCTGTATTTTAATTATTTTGAATTAATTAATATATTGTTATTCATTATTTATTTATTTATTTATTGAAATGATATTTTATGTAACTTATAAATAAAATTATGCAAAATGACAAAAATGCTGGAATTTGAAATTCATTTGACTAGTAATTTATATAATACGAAAAATTTAACGTACGCATGCGTGGACTTATGCATTTTATTTCATCATTAAAGTACTATATTTTAATAAAATATATAATTTTATATATAAATATGATTCCTTCAAATATAACAAATAATAATTATTCATTTTATTCGTTTAAATATAACTGAAGAATTTTTTATTTAATATTATATTTCGAAATATTCAATTTCATTGCAATTTAAAAGTTTTTCCCGCCAAAGTTTTTAAATTTTAAAATTTTAACAAAATATTCCTTATATAAATATCTATTTCTCGAAATAAATGTATTGCATATATATGCATGAATAAAATAGAACGTATAATTATATATCTTCATAAATATTTCAATATAAAAGCTCCGTGCGTATTATTATTAAATTACAAAATCTATTGTTTAATTGACTTACTTTTATTAATTCAAATAATGATTCGCTGAACGAAAAGTACTGTGATTATACATTTTTATAAGTAATAGCACTTTTATCATCCATGTTTATGCATAAAACATTTACTAGCTATGAAAAGAAAAATAATAAATGCTTCACTACATAATACGGAATCACTATTTAATAAATTTAAATTAAGGCAACATTGTATCAAACTTCTTTTTACTTAAAACTCTATGTTACGTATTCACAACCACATTCGAAACATTTTTCTGTGGCTCGACGTTACGCGGCGTCACTAATAGCACTGAAACTGCTGCTATTGTAGGATCAGTTGAGTAGTCATCGTTGTAAGATCACCTGGACTTTTGCCAGAATGTGCATTTGTCTGAAATATATGTATATATATATATATATATATATATATAATACATATTCCATATATATTTAATTATATCTTTTGAATGAAAATGAATTAAAATAATCATTATATTTATTTTCTTATACAAAATGTAATAAAAACATAAAATAATTTTGTATTTACAAGTTTGTTACAATTTTTAATAACAATAACAATTATCACATTATTGCATTAATGTATATATATATATCACATCATAATATCATTCAATAAAATTTCATGTATATAAAAATTATTGTTACAATTTTATTAATTTTTCTTATTTAAGAAATTTGTCCACAATGTCTTCTACGAACCATTCTTCTGTAAATTGTAAATGATCACCTTCAAGAGAAATAAAATGTATTTTACCTAACTTATCCATTTCTTGCAATCCCAGACGATCCTGAAATAGAAAAATTATGAAATAAAATATAAAATAATGTAAATTATATTAATATTTACCTCTTTGTATAAACTAGATTCCTGTAAGCTTTCCAATTCTACGCTTTGGCCAGGTTTGTAAAATCCAAACCATTCTGTTTCTTTAGGCTGTACAATAGTATCATTTTCAAACATTACCAGAACTAAGGATTTTAATTTTTTAAGATTACTTTTATATGTCTAGAAAAGTGTACAAAACACGATTATTTATTTTGCCATGAATAATGTATTGATACTATATAATCATTAATTATATTATTTTATATTAAAACGACATACCTCATTTATATGTAATTCATTATTAATATCTGCTAAAAAACGACTTTTATTTTTATACTCGTCTGTTTTTGTAGAATCATGCCAATACCCTGCTTGTATTAAACTTTCTTGGACAAAACTTGAAGAAAAAAAATATATCCATTAATAAGATTTCTTAATGTTTTATACTAACTTTTAAATATAATATGTTTAAGTACTCAGTATATGCTGCTGAACTAAGTAGCTTTCTAAAAAAATAGCACATTTTATTATTTATAGCAATACAATGTGGTAATCCAAAAACACCTTGATGTTGACCACCAAAAGATATGAGATTTAACATTGGTGGAGTTGTACACCTTTCAGCTACAGCACGTCTGCAAATAGAATATAACAAATATGTTTATATAAATATCTATAAGGTAGATAACATAAAATAATTGCAATGAAAATCTAAAGGTTTTCATTAGAATTTTATATATAGAATTTCTGATTCTACTTACAAAAATTGTGCACCCTGGGATAAACCAATTGCGTTGTAACCATTTTGTAAATTTACGTCCATTTCTATTTCTTTGCATGCTGCTTCTACATCATTATTAATATTTCCGAAATAACTTTTTTCTATATCCTAGGAACAAATAAGAACTTATTGAATGAGTATACTTACACTTTAATTCTAAAAATATGCTAATTAATAATTAATATTACCACAAATATATTATCTCCTTTATGTATGCATTTGACATAAACTCCAGATATTTTGTCTTGTAATAATTCTTTAATAGAATTGATACCAGGGGCATAACAGCTATCACCTATCATTAAAACAAATCATTTATTTCAATTTAAATCTATTTATAACGAATTTAGATAACAAAAATATATGAACATTAATACATACCCATACCATGCCAAATAACAATTGGTGTAGGTGAATTATTAAGAATAATTTTTATGTTCGTAAAAGTGATAAATATACTTATTGTAAACAATAACATAATGCAAAAAACTACTGTAAACTTAAGAAAATGTAACATTGCAACCATGATGACAGATTATAAATGAATGTGAATACGTATGTAATTAATAAACTAATAATTTTCCTATTAAAAAACAGAAATAATGACAATTATTTTACACAATTTACAAAAACTTTAATCGAGATCACAATGATAAAAAGTAGTTGTCACTTACTCTCAAAGAATGACACTTCAGCGCCAAGTGTGGGTAAAATATGAACTATAAAATCAACAAGAGAAATCCCCTTCATAGACTATTGTATCGGTATATACACATTTATAAATTTCCTGAAGTTTGCATAAGCTTGCTCTATTTATCATTTTTCTTCTCTTTTATGCACTCCTAAGATTTTGAATTTGTTCTACAATAATATAAAACTTAATAAAACATGACAGGGTAGAAGAAGGTTTAAGAAAGAAACAACAAAATATATTATTAGACTATTTTTCTTCCTAAATTAGAAATTCCATGAACACAATATATATGTATATATATATATACATTAATTTTTGTTTATATATCTATAACTAGATAACTTTATATTACTATAACTGAAATTTAATCTTATTAAGACGAACATTTCCATATATATATATATTGAAAAAAAACCTAACAAGGAAACGGCAATCATGTGCAACTTCTGATTTTGTTCATTATACTACCAAAGTAAAAGATATAAGTGAGAGTACAATGTATATTCGTTATGGACCACTGGAAGTGTGCAAAGTTTAAAAGAAATCAGAGATTGCATATGATTGCCGTACCCTTATAAGATACAAATTTTCTATTGCTTGTAAAATTATTAATATCATTTGTTTACTATAGTGTATATTGAGATAAAGACAATATTTATAGAACTGAGGCACTTACAGCTTTTGGCACATAGTTTAAATGTATTTATAAAACAACAATAAAATAAACAAACAAAAAGTTACAAAAATACTTGGAATCAAACTGTTGTAAATTCTGTAGTATGCTGTGAAGGATTGTGATATAAGCTAGCCATAGCTTCTTCTAATGCCCTTAAACAAGCAACATGTGCTTTGAATCCTCCTGCTCTTTCCACTTTTGTCTCTGCACGAACATGCGCTATGTATCCTCGAGCTTGAATTTCACGCCAACTAGGAACATCTGGTCCTTCTGTTTGTTGTCTAATAGGATTATATGTAAACATTGGTCCTTCTTCTGCTTTTGGAATTTGTAAGTAGCTTTGCGTTCCTTGTTTTCCAAACTTTATTCCTGTACTAAATTGAGTAGGTTTAGGAGAGGAGGTCTTTGCTTCTTTCTTGGAATTCTGTATCGCTGATGTAAACGTATCAACAATACTTTTAGCATTCCCTTCTGAGAATGTAAGTTCATCTATTAAAGCCTCCTTATCTCTAATTTTTTTCTTTTTTGCTTCCATTTCTTCTTTAGCAAGTTCTAACCGTCTTTCCTCTTCTTGCTGCTTTTCTAATTCTAAAAGTTCTTCTAATTCATATTCTTTTCTACCAAGTTTGGATTTACTCTTATTTATTTGATCCTTGTTATCTTTTTTATACTGATCTATTTTTTTATTTGTTTCAACTACATCAATATCATTGGCCAAATTGTATATTATGTTTTCAACCGCTTCTAGATAATCATTGTATTCTAGCAATGTAGCAAAATCCTCTTCCTTTTTGTTAAAATCCCTAAGTATCTTTTTTCTTATATTTACTTCCTTCTCTACCATAGGATCTTCAAACATTTGAACACGAAAATTTGTTCTTCGTAGTGGAATATGACATTCTGGACAGGATCCGGAGCCTTAAAAATAATTATATTTTATAAAATATAATATAATTGCATGTGAAATTGGAACATTTCTAAAATTTAATTAAAGTATATCACATAAGTATAACAACCTTTTAAAAACAATAGATCTACGCAGCTCTCGCATAGAGTATGTCCACAAACATTTACCATCATCTTTAATGACGGATTTCGATATTTTGTAGTTTTGCATCTTGGACAAGCTTGATCATCCATTTTGGTCAAATATTTATGAACTAATAACGCTGCTACTATAATACAATTGTATTATAATATAATCGATAAAATACATATAACTGTATTAACAAATAAAATAATGGTCTATAATCTTGAAGCACAACAATTATTCAGTAATAAATTAATCATTTTAAATAGATAGATATAAATAATGATACATATAACTGCAATCTGATTAATAATTAATTAATATTAAAAATAAAAAACCGTATAAAAAAATAATACTCCTCTAATTTGTTTACGAACATTAAACTCTAACCTTCATAACCTTACTTTAGATTCTTTAAGCTACTTTAAGTGTTAGTGATCAACTCTGGTTGGCTGTTACGCCATCTAATGTCGCTCTCTAGACGCCCTCTGTTGACTAGCCTATGAAAGTTTATTATTAATTTGTCAGAGGATTTTCATATTTTCCCGCCTGTTTTAAGACGATCATGCGCTTACGTGCACTGCGTGCGCTACGTATGCAGTTGAATAAGTGAAGTAACTAACATGATAAACGATATATTTCAGTTTTTTAACATTCTTCTAACATATAATAAATAATTTTACGGTTTTTATCGAATAAAATTTTTATTTTATTAATTACTTATTTAATTCGATTATGCTCTTCCCCGTTTATTTCATGATCCTTTTTGAGCATACAAATTATCTGCATCATCATAATACGTAGATACTTTTTACGTGTCTCTTAACAACGACATGGACGAAAAGTCTTCAGGTAACAGCTGTACTTCATCATTCTTTTTTTTAAATAACGATTGTTGAATTATACGTAATGACTAGTAAATAAAAATATTATATATATATAATCTAACTTTTTACTTAAATGAACATAAACATAATAAACTTTATGTCAAACTACAATATATAAGTAGATATTTTATTACAATTTATATAAAAAATTTGTTAATTTATATACAATTTCGATTTAATAGATAATGTTATTTCTGCGCAAAAGTCATTACCATCTTCTTATGATTCTGGTTGGAATGACACACCGAAATGGGCATCCCCATATGCAGAAAATACAAATATATCTACAAAAAGAATACTAAATAAAAGAGTTCCATTTCCTTTAATTTCTGGAGAATTAAAAAACAATAATGAATGTCAATCAAATACAGCAGGCATGCCATTACCGCCACCATCAATTCCTCCTTTAGGTTTAAAGACAGCACCTCATGCTCCTCTAATAACACCTTCTGATACAAATACACAACTGACTTGTACTGTAACAAAATTTGATAAACAGCAAGCCTTAGTTGATACTATGGCAAATTTGGATTTGGTCATTAAAAAATATGTTGTAGAAAATAAAATAGATGAGGTTCAAAGGAGATTAGATTTAATGAAATCTTGTTGGCTTGATAATAAATTAAATGATACTATACAACACAAAATACTTGACATTTCAATTGGTGAGTTTAATAAAATGTATAATTATAATATTTTTTAATGGATAAAATACTGAAATCAAATAATAAATTATTAATACTTTTAGCATTGAAAGAAGAAGATGTTGATAAAGCAGACAAACTTCATATTGCATTGATGGTAGATCACACCAGTTTGTGTAGTGCTTGGATACCTAGTATTAGACATATCATTTCAGCTTTAAAGAAAAGAAAATCGTGTCCCAACGATTTATAGATATCTATGCTTTTTTTCGTAAAAAATATGTGATAAATATTTTTTATAGCTACTTAGGAAGTTTTGGAATATTTTTTTGTACGCATTTTCTTTTATGTGGTCTCTATCTTCCACAGCAAAACAGATTTGAGTGTATATTCAAATATCATTTGAATTAAATTCCAAGCGATTGAAACGCCGCTTCAGTGCATTACACCACAAAAAGATTGGATACATAATAAATAAAGCTTCCATAAAGTAGCTTGAAAATTCATTTATTAAAATACAGGTATATTTATTTATTATATTATTATATATATATATAACTTACTTTTATATATTTTTTCTTTTATGGATATAATTAGTTCAGTATATACAATATATAGGTATAATATAAAAAAATATTATATATTTATTTAAAAAGAAAATTTGTTAAATTGTAATGCACCTTTTAAATTTTATTTTGTTTTCAATTATAATGTACTCTTAATGTGTTATACCATAAAAAATATGTTTTATTCAAATAATTTGTCGTCAATTAACCTGAACTAATCAAAATATTTTTATCATTATTATATATTTCAATTTTACGATGATCACTAACACAGTTTCATTGATAAATTTTAATGATTGTTGTTGCATCATGCTTAAACTTATTCACATTGGATATAACTTATCAATTTATGCACACGTTTGAAAACTCAGCTAACACTCTGTTTAATGAAAGATATTTGCAAAATGCACCATATAATTCATATAACATCTTACAACTCATCATTATCACTAGGCTTTGCCAGATTAAAATCGAGTATTTCATCTGATGTTAAGAAGCGAACATCACTATCTTCAGAAAGAGAAGAATTTCCAGTTCCACGCTTGTAAGTTTTTCTTCTTCTAATAATAAAGAATGCTACTATTGAAATTACAATAATTCCGGTTAAAATGCCAATAATTAAACCAATAATACCAGGCCGTTCAATTTTTTCACTGTTATGATGAAATTTTTTGGGATTTTCTATTCTCACACTTATTTCTGGATCTGAAATTAAATATTTAATGCATTTTATTTAGGAAGTAAATATAGTAGCATTAATTCAGTCATTATAAAGTATATAATCTAATAGAATCTAAATACACATTACCATATTGTTTGGTTATTTCAACCTGTTTTGTAGTTGTCGTTGGTTTATATGTTTTCTGTGTTGTTGATGTTTTAAGTACTGTAACGGGTTCAGTTACATGAACAGTAGTAATAGTAGTGCTCTTCTTAGTAGGTTCCACAAAAATTTTTGTTGTTGGTGCTTCTGTTTCTTTTAGTTTTGTTGCATTGGGTTCAATATAATCTTTTGGATCTATTGGTATATGATTACGATTTATGGTTGTTGACAAAGTTGTCGTTTCATATTTCATAGGTTTAGTAATATTTGGTAGTAATCTTGTAACATTAATTGTGTTTTGATTTGTAGTAGTACTAGTGGTAGCTTCTGTAATTTCCTGAGTAATCCCATCATCTGTAAAAGCTACAAATAATCTTAAATAAGTTTTAAAGGATAATACATTATATATATTTTTCTTTTTCCTTACAAATATTAAATTAATATCGCAATTATTTGCATAATAATAATAATAATATATTTAAATAATGGATCGCTACCAAGAACACAGTATTCTGCATAATCTGGGCAACAGAGAGCATATTCTGCGCAATCTGATGTGCATTGGCACTGCTCTACATGTGGGTCTTCATCTGATGGCTCAAGAGTAATGAACATAGATGTAGGTAAATTGTTACACCTTCCTTGGCAAGTTTGCGCTGCATTTACTATTTCAACTTGATCTGAAAATTATATGATAATGTTGCATAAGTTTTAATAGAAGTTAAAATAATCTTAACAAATTAATTTAATAATCATTCTTATTTAATAGATAATATACCATTATTATTAGTTGTCATAGTGGTAGTACTAATATCACTTGTGTTAGTATCACATTCTTTTCCTTGCAAAATAGCAATATCATCAACAGCAATATCACTTACATAGCTCATACCTCGAACACCTTCAATGATTAACTACAAAGCAATTAATTAATAGGTGAACTCTATAATTTCAAATGAAAGTAAAAATTAGATATTACATCGTGTATACTGACCTGAAAATTCTTGTCTACTCTTGGTAAAGAAAAAATACCATGTAACCATTGGTTTCCTTGATTACCCTCCTTATGAAACATTAACTGTGGGTTAGTATCCGTTTCTAATTTGAAATATACTCGTAAGGCACCTATTGCAACACCATACATATGATACCTAGAATTAATTGAAAATTATATAAATATATTTGTTTATGATAGATATATTATTTACATATTATTTAATTACCAGAATGAAAAGCATCCAGATTCTGTTAATGAAGCATTGTACAGAGGGGAGATAATTCTTGCTGTATCATTTACAAGACGTCCGGATGCCTCAATGTAAAGGTAATATCCTGAAGTTCAAAAAATTCAAATCAATTAGATTTCCGTTGGATTTGATAACAACTATTGAAATTGAAATATTAAAAAGTAAATTAAATAACTACCTTCATTTCCAGCTCCTAACGTATGATCATGTGTCGGACCTGTGCCAATGTGCGAGCTCGGTGTTTCAAAATTATATCGCCGCCAATCAAAATCATGTAGAGGATCCTGTTCCCACCAGCATAAATCCGGCTTCTCAAAGTCACACTTAGTAGGTGCAGTCGCGCTCGTATCTATTTCATTTTCATACTCATTTTCCTCGGATATATACACACGTTAAAGTATATACGCTAAGAATATTAAATTATGAATAATCTATAAAATTACCTCTGCAATAGGGAGCTGTTGAATTCCAACTATGACCATTGCAATAAATTTCAGATGCCCCAATTAAAGTATAACCAGCTTCGCAAAAATACATAAGTATTGCACCATCATACTTCTTAGCTACTAAAGCGTGTTCGGGTTTAGGAAGAGCCGGACATTCTGCATCTATCGATATACGAGAATAATTATTTCTAATATAAAAATAATGAGTATAAATATAATCAATGTTTCAAATTAATAGTTTAATTTATATAAAAACCAAACAAAACAACACTTACTAACACACACTGGTGCTGGTGTGTCCCATTGTCCATGTATACATGTAGAATAACTATTCCCCACGAGGGTGTAACCATGGTTACAATGAAATCTAATGATTCTACCTCTAGCCCGTTCGCGTACTCTTCCATTTAATAATCGTACAACGGAACATCGATCTAACAAGGAAGTAAAGATAAATATTTCTATGTTATACAGTTACGCTTCGTTTTTCAAATCTTCGTGAGCAGTATCTTCCTACAGTGAAACTTCAATGATCGATATTATTTGTAATACTGTACATTGCATATAACGTAATAAAACATAAGCACTATCAATTTGACTTTTTTTTAAGCATAACATTAATCCTTAATGAAGATTTATAATATAATTAAAAAGAAAAATCATATAACTTACTTCGAGATGTTTCTTTTGAATAAATAATACACTGACTTAAATAGATTGATAATACAGAAAGTAAAATAAACCACTTCATCACTATTACACTTTTGCTCAAATTAATAAGATTATTTGAAATTTAGATTGAAATGATTTTGTTTCGTATACGCATCGACGTTTAAATTCAACCGAAATAAAAGATTCTTTTTTTTTTAATAATAATTTGAAAAGAATTAAAATTATAACTTCTTCAAATTGAATTGTAGAATAAATTGTGATTAATACAATGTAATTATCAAAGATAATAAGCAAATCGTTTTCAATATACAAAAATAATGTTCGACGATTAAACGAACTAAACGTCTGAATTCAAAAAGAATCTCTCGTTGATTGCGGTGATCCTATTCTTCTGGTGGAAGTAGGGAGATGACTTCCGCTGATGCGAATACGATTCGGTTCATATCTGCTTCCACTTTCTTATCAGTCCTGACTATTGTCAGGCCTTGAAAGGAAATTTCAGAGAAGGCGTTTCATACGAGATATATATATATATAAGTTTAGAATGTATATATATGCATATATATGTATATATAATACATATATATACTATTAGTAGATAGCATAACTAGAATTAGTAAATAAATATTTAAACAATAAAATCTAAGATTACTTGTATTAATTTAAATTGGTAAACAATGAGACATTTAATAAATTAGATGTCATGTATTTCATGAATAATTATTAAATTAATTATATATATATATATGCGCATATATATCTATTTACAGATTCATTTTATTATTCTGATTGAATTTATATGAATCTTAGAGACAAATAGTAGACTAATTTCACTGTAGTATAAATAATGAAGATTATTTAGAAGTTGTTGGTTTCCATGGTATAACTTTTGGTCTTGTTGTTGAATAAGGATAGTAAGCCTTAGAGGTGCCAGAGAAATTTGGTTCGTGATCTAACATCCATTCGTATTTCGGTCGTGATGGATCATGATGAGGTGGCAAGTCAGTCTTATAATGTAACCATCCAAACCATTCTGGTGGTACTTGAGAACCATCATAATTTAGTCCTACTTGTTCTGAGTATATAACCCATCTATTACGACCTAAAATATATTTCAATCATATCATTTATATATCCTCTGATCAATTTTTTTAAATAATAATACGCATATACATGTATGTATATAGAGGGTGTTCAATGGTTATAGAATCATTCTCCATATATTATCATTCTACATGATAAACTAAATCAGATAAAGAATAAAATTTGTCATATAAGGCTTTTATTTTCGAGAAGAATAAGTTGGAAAATTTATCAAGTACGTGTACTAAAAATTACTGAACACTAGATATATTTAAACTCACCTACAAAATACATGTTATTCTCATAATATTTATTTCCATATTTGTCTTCACCAACCAGGACTCCTGTTTTTAATTCATCAGTTCTATTAAACATAAAAAATAATGTTAAAATACAATATGTAAGAAAACATCATTTAAATTAAATGACAAACTTTTTGTGTATGACATTAGATTATCAAATGTAGTATCATTTTAAAGTTATTATTTGATTACATAATGACGTTAATATTTGGTTATAACAATAAAGTTAATTTTCTATAGGAGACAAAACTGCATATGACAAATCTTATTTATTCATTAAATTTAAAGATTTAAAATAAATAAATTGACGTAAAATACTTAGCAATTCCAAAAAATAGACGATTTTAAAATAGAAATTGTATATGCTTTTTTTGTCAATATATTTTCATATAAATGTATATAAAAACAATAACCTAAATAATGTCTTCACTGAATTAATAATTCCATTATTGTCTTTTATTATTTTGAAAAGTCTTTGGAGCTTATCCAAACCTAACAATTTCGCCATATTTGTTATGTACTTCGCGAATGCACACGCGAATCAACGTATTTAACTAACGTAATTCATCTATCACATATCTAAACTGGACAAAATTTTGTGTATTCAATGTACAAATTCTTCGTTCAGAGTGCGCTAAAAACAACCTTGATCATGTGATTGTAAGAGTTAACGTAAATTAATTTTACGTCAAATTAATCAATTTAAATTATTGATTATTTATCATTAAACTATGAAATATTCTGTCAGATATTTTTATTGTTATAATTGTATGCCAGGAAAATTACGATAAAGCATTCAGATTATTATGATCGTATACAGTAATATTTCTAGCAACAGCTGTTGTGAAAAAATTGGACACTATGCAGCTTATCTTCCCAAATATAAATAAAAAATGAATTTTAGAACCCTACATAATCCTTAGGGTTAGGATAGGTTAATTATTTGTTGATCTTATACCATCCATGGTTAAATACAATTTTAATAAAGGACCTATGCTTATGATATAATAATTTAATTTTTATTTACAATTATATTTATTATAAAGGTCTTCGTGTGATTCTCTTAATTACTCTAATAAGGATAAGTAATTTACATTATAATAATTTTAGTTTAATAAAATTTTATTATCTTGGTACACGCATGATAAAATTATTTAAGAATTAGAATTAGCATTAGGTCCACGCCGACGTCCAAAGCTTTGAACAACGTTTACGAATCTGCGATTGTACTGAATACGTCTTTTTGCACGACCAGTCTTCTTTTTACTTTTTTCTTGCTTTTCAACCTGTTAAAGAATACAGATATATTTAATAAATATATATTCGAAGAGTTGATTTTAAAAATATATGTAAATTGTACATATTTATAAAAAGTTAAATTAAAATTCAGTACAAAACTTCATTTTAATTTGTTTATTAATATAGCACTAATACTTTTTTTATAATTTGATTATACAAATTATAAATTCAATAGCACATAGCTAAAGTCAAAGTATTATTTACCTTAGGAGTTTGGGCCTTTACTTTTCCAGCACGTGCTAAGGAACCATGGACTTTACCTATAATAAAAAGAAAAAAAGAATAATTAAATAATAAAGAATAAATATAATTAAATTGAAATTAAAATCAATGCTAGAATTAAATTTACCTCCACAAAGAGGGACAATTAAATCTAGGGTTTGACATTCAAGATCCTTAACAATAGTATCGTCTTCTAAGGGACGACCTCCACAATAAAGATTTACATCTCCATCAATATTTGCTAGCTTCTCAAGCTTTCCCTGTAAAGCATAAAAATATCATTAGTATAACAAATTCCTAATGTAAATGTTAACACATTGATTATTGAATCAATTTCATATAAATTGATATATTCATGTAATACTTTTCATAAGTTTTTGTAAATATTTAAAATATTTATTCATAATGAGAATAACCGTACAGCAAAACATATTCATGAATGACATAGCTGAATCAAAAGGGTTAACCTAGAGTTAAATAGTTGTTGAAAACATGCACATAAACAAAATGTACAAACTATTGTAATCTGTACACAAATTAAACACGTTTTCTTATTACTTTAGCATTATTGCTCGTTCTAACAATGCAAGTAATGCAATTGTTAGATTATCATTTAATGCAATCATTGTATCTGATATAATAAAATAAAAAACTAAAAACTAGATAAAACTCTCAAGTAGAGATATCTTATCTTATTTAGATAAACAAAAATGGCTGTTTCAATGGATCACATATTTAATGATTTAAATTTGTAATTTCAATATTTCATATTAAATATACCTTGATATCCAGAATAGTGGTATTCTCTTCACATTCAACGACATGCGTTTGGTCGCCACGAATTTGAAGAAACATGTTTGTAATATCTGCAACATAATTTTTAATGTAAATCCACGTGTGAAAGTACGACATAACCGATCTAACAACATGCCGTGTGCATGTAAATTTTTATAAAATAAAATACTTTCTATACATATAATACGTGCACATTTGCAGAAATAAGATATAAGAAAAGAAATGTAAGAATACTTAAAATAAGAAAATATAGTTATTAAAACATAATGAAATATAAACCTTGCTATAACGTAGTATATGATAAAAAACTTGATAGACAGGAAGTAAAACTGCGTTGCTGACTGATTTTCACGATATAGCACAACTTTACTTAACAGCGTACTGGACACAAATGAGTCCAAACAGGAAATGACCGAGGTAGTTGATTGAATTTATTATATACTAACAGACTCACTATTGACTTCAGTAGCATTCAGGTTTACCAATAGATTAAATAACTGTATTTTCGGTTATTGTTTCCAATTTTAACTTCGGAACATTTGCGAGTATAGGGTTTTTTAGTTTATTCGTACTATTGTTGCTTTTCAAAATTAGATAGTTTCAGATCATTAGGGAATTTAGAATTATTCATGGAATCTATACCATAACCTATACATCTGTTTTAAGTAGATAACCTATAATTTTTATTAACAAAAATTGTAATTAATAATTTTAATTAAAATGAATGTCTTTAGTATTAATTATTTTTTAATTTAAGCATTATAAAATGGCACGGCTTAAAGGTTGGAGATATGGAATTTTTGTGGGAACTTTTGTAGGAACTATCGGAGCATATATGTGTGCTATATTGATTCATCCTATGATAAATTCTAATCATTACAGTACGTATAAATTTAGGACTTATTTAAATTATTGGAAACATTAATAATTGCATAATCTTAAAATGCTTATTTTAGAACAAGTAAGAGCAGAGGCAAAAAAATATCTTCCTCCTGATAAAGTTATTTAATAAATCTATTTTATTGAATTAATTATGTAAAATTAAGTAAAAAAATATAGTATGATCCTAGATAATAATCAAGGTGAAATAATTAAATTATATAATATAGTGTATTGATAATAAAAGTATCTCGAAAAAATAATATAATTTAAATGAAGTTTTAGGTTAAAGTCTTATTTATAATGACTAGATATTGTTTGTTTTGATTAATTAAATATATGAAGATTAATTAACTTCCCTATAAAGTTTTTATTTACCGCAATAAAAAATTTTGAGTATGTACAAAATGTAATTGTCGCATATATAACATTGTTTTGTTAAAAATCATCATCAGAGACATCAAGGAAGACATCGAATGCTTCACGGTTACAACTACCATCTGGAGTAAACACATACTTATGAAATGTTCCATCCATACATACAGCTGAAAAAAGTATGAAGACATATATTTAACGTTGTATTAATAAAAATGAAGTATTATAGAAATAATGAACTGTACCTATCACAGAGCTTTTTCTACCAAATGCACAAACACAAGCACATTCCGGTGGTACTGTAAATGTAGCCATTGCCCACTGACTTTCAGCATAATTTCCCAGAAATCCCATTTTTGAAAAACTATAAGAGGTCAATCTTTTAAAACTAATGTTATATATTTGATATAGAAGTTAGTTAAATGTTAATTTACTTACGTAGATCTTCTGTTCAAATGAGTATCTTTTATAGCAAATATGTGTACAGTTCCTTTATCACTAGATACGCAGAGATATTCTGAATCTCTACTGAATGTTATACTAAAAGAATTAGATGTTAGAAAGAAGTATAATGCTACAATATAATATACATATATAATTTTAAATAATACCAATATACTGTAGCAGGGTCCGCACCTCTTCTTAACTCAATAAGTAAATTTCTGCGTAAAGAGTCCCATACTCTGACTAATGTACCCTTGATAGAAGCTGTTGCTACCATTGTACCACTTCCATTAACAGCAATACAAGCCAACGCACCCTAATATAAAAATTTACAAATAAAATACCTATTTAAAAGTTATTATATAATACAGTAGAACATTGATTATCTGAAAATCGGTTATTCGAATATAGAATAAATCATTCAGACATATAAATCGTTCATTTATAAATTGATGTTATAATATAATTAGGAATTTGATTTTTTAAAGACCAATTATCGAAACGAATTCATTTCCCAATTCATTCAGATAATAGACGTTCTACTGTACATATGTATGATAAGATGTTAAATATAATACCTGATGTGCTGCAAGTGTGGTAGGAGTAGTAGAAGTTCCTGCTTCTGTGGCACCTAAATCTAATAACTGTACACTACCAAGTTTGTTACCAGGAAAAACCATTAATTGTTTTTGAGCAGTTGCTAAAGTAGCTACTTCTATTAAACCTTTAGGATTGTCTCTTGTTTTCAATGAAAATAATCTTCTTGTAGGCATAGGAAACGAAAAGACATGTATATCTGTTTGAAGGGCCACTATCAATCTAAACCATAAAAATATGTTGTTATAATTGCTATTACATTTTTTAAATGCTTTTTATAATAATAATAATAAATAAGTATAAAGTACAATAGAAACTTTTGTAACTTACTTATCTCTGCGTAATCTAACAGCTTTAATTGGACTAATGAAAGTAATTTCCATTACAAATTTTTTTGAAAGATCATCGTAAATAAGAACAGTATTTTCTGCAAATCTTGGGTGTGTTCCTCCACCCACTATAGCAAGAACATTTGTTCGCCAAAGCATTTCTCCATGTGCAATGCTACCCATAACATCTTGGTCAAAGTGAGCTTTTTCAACTAAAGGTTCTACATTAAATATCCTTAAACCAGATTCCATACAACATGTAAAACATCCTAAAGTGAAAGACAATAGAAAAATTATTTTCGATTTAGAAAAAATTATTTTATAATGTAATCAAGAACATTTATTTGCATTACTTAACTAAAAAATGTATAATTTCATTACTTTTAAACAATAATACGTACCTTGATCTTGATTAAATCGTAAATCAAGAATATCTTTTTTCCCTACCATTATTTATTTTTTTTCAGCACGTTATGGTTTTAGCTGACATAAAACTTTGTTAGTTATTGAAATAAATATTTATGTTCGTTTTTAATCTATCAGCCTAATACATAAATTACAAAACAATTCTATTTTTCAATGAGTGTTTTCATCATTGTAGAAATAATTCTTACAGGCTCATTTTTGTAAGCGTGATTATTGGTTATACGTTGAAAATTGAGCTCATATTTCTGTAATGGCCAATGAACGTTTAACATAGCTTTCAAAGTTTGTAATAGTACACATGGAAATGGAGGTTAATGCCTTTGTTCTCATGTGCATCACGCGACTGCGCAATTGATTTGTATTTTTTGAAGGTAGATAACAAGTTCTTATTATTTCATTAAATAATATATTTCATTAATATATCATAATTAAGGTTGTAATATGAAAATTTTTGGAAAATAGAAAATAAAAGTGATAAAAATATATATAAATGATATATTTTTATATATCATTATAATATATTATATATATAAAAAATATATAATATATATATATATATATATTCATTATAATATAAAGGAAAAAAGAAACACAATAGCAATGTCGTTAGCAGTATTTGCAAAAGGTTCTACATGGGTCTTTAAATTATATAGAGTTTCTTGTAACTAGAAGTATAAACAAGTAGAAGGAATTCTCTATGAAAAACAAAGTTAAAAGTGTAAAATAAATGTGCACGCGTAAATTTTTAAATTTATTTTTTTTTTTTTTGAAAACGAATTAAACAAATATTATTCTAGATTTTCAACTTAGTTTTTCATGTAGAATCACTTCTTGCTTGCTTGTATCATCAGTTACAAAACACTATATAATTACACATGTTATTAATTTTGTAAAAGTAATATAATATTGTGAATTCTTTTTAAAGTAAAAATAATTAATGACAATAATATAATATTAGGTCATACATAAATTTCTCTGTATTAAGACTAGTAATGACCACTTTTTTATATAATATAATATAATATAATTTGATGAATTTTTTATACTGACTTAATAATAGAAGTGCAGTTTTAGTAATTCAGAAATCTCAATAGTTTGTTGAAAACAGTATGTATTCATTATCAGTCCAAAGTGTAGCACATTTTTCATGAATTTCACTACAATGCCTTAGACTTATTTGGATACCCTTTTTGTCTGTTTTCTATCTTCTATTACTTAGTGCTAATATTAAAACACATTATGGTGTTAAGATGGAATATTTATTCCAATGCAGCAGCACCAGAAATAATTTCAATTAATTCTCTAGTAATAACAGCTTGTCGTGTACGATTAAATGTGAGAGTTAATTTGTCAATCATTTCTCCTGCATTTTTACTGGCATTGTCCATGGCAGTCATGCGACTGGATTGTTCGCTACAAGCTCCTTCTTTCATCGAATAGAATAATAAAGATGCCAATGAAAATTCTAAATAATTTTGTATAACATCATCATCAAGAGAATCATAAACACTTAACTTGGGGGCACTTAGTACTGCATTTTTATCGAATAAAGGCAGTTGATCAACATTATAGGATACTACAGATTTGAATCGGTTATATACAATGCGACCAGATCCAAAAGTATAACTGTAAACATGTAAAAACAATATGAGTAATGTATATAATAATATATATATATATATATGTATATATTAAACAATTTTTACATACCCGCTGTTCATAATTTCTATAGCAACTTTTGCTGCGTCATTAAAAGTAGGTGGCTTACGTCCTACTTCAGAAACAACAAACAACATATTTTTAGCGAACAAACGTGACAAAATAGCACGTGATTTTTCTCCAACACAGATAATTTTAGTATTTTCTCGTTCTGTGGGATCTGCTAATAAGGCTTCTCGGATATTACGTGAAACGCCAGTATGAATAGCACCACATAAACCACGATCACTGGTTATTGCTACAACTAGCTTTTTTGGTTCCTCTGATGGTGCAGCTATCTCAGCTTGTTCATAAAATATTTTCGTGCCGAAACCGAGTGGACGAGCCTGTTTTAAATCACGTTCTGCCCTATTGTATTTAGCAGCGGACACCATCTTCATGGATTGTGTGATTTTTTGAATGTTTTTAACTGACTTAAGACGCATGGAGATAGCCTTAAGAGTTGCCATACCCCGTTGCTGTTGCTCTTGCTGCTGTTTTGCAGCAAGGCGAATTATTGAAGACATACGATTGCAAAACATGTTTATTGTAGTTGTTTTAATCCTGTAATAATATGAAAAGAAAATAAATAAGAGATTAGTTTAATTTAGATTACAAATTATACATTCATAATTTATTTTACTACATGTAAAGACATTTCTGAATTAAATGTCAGTCATTTTTAAAGTAATGGAGTGAACTTTTAAAATGATTTACTTCAAAACTGAAATGATAACAGAAAATATGTAATGTATTAAATAATAATATAAATTAATTGTTACGTAGGATTATTCATATTTTATAACACATATAATTTTTGGGTGGTAATCACACATTTATGTAACTATTACCAATCAAATATGGCAATATCAATGTCGTTTTTGAAGTTTCTTTAGTACCTTGTTTCTAAGTGAGATCTTCTAATTGTTCTTCATATTTTTTAATTGTATAAAAGAATTTATGTAAATGTTTAAAAACTCACCAGATAAAATAATTAATCGAATTATGTAAACTCGTAACTATTACGGCTCGTCCACTATTCTGGCACGGAATAGTAATTTTATGAAAGGGATACAATCTACACTATATTTCAACATAGTCAATGTCTCTTTCGGCTTTTTTCGTCCTTATTCGATGAAAGTTGAGACTGCGCATTCAACATAACAATGATGAAACAATGGCGCCAATTTTCAATTACCAATAAAGTGTTTTCAACAAATATAGCGTTTAATAAAATTTAAATGTCATTTTATAAATAAATGAAAGATATCACACATAATTTTCATTATATAAAAAAATATTGGAGTAAATATTTACATATATTTTCCAAAAATTAAAGAATATTTTATTAATTACATGAAATAAAAAAAGTTATTGGTATCACTGCTAGAGCGTTTAAATGAAATTTTATGTTATAACGTTTTATCCACTGTTTTCATTTCGAAGTGATTTAAATTACTGTGGATTTATTCTAATGTATTATTTAAAAGATATTTATTATGGAATGTGAAAGTGTTAATACAACTGAATTAACATCTTTAATTAAGGATGGAAATACATTACTTATGGATATTGAACATGTAAATCCTACATTTAAAAACATTTCCATAAGTTCTACTATTGCTATAAAAGAGACTGAAAATAAACAAAAACAAAGTTCCAATAATGAAACAAATGTGGAAACAATACGAAAGTCTTACATACCAGACAATACAAATCAGATATCTATTGATCATGGACCATATATAGTAAGTATTTTTTAAGTATTTTTCATTAATATATGTATATTATAAATTACAATTAATTTTATTAATATTTTATTTAATATATACATTAAATGTTATAGGAATCAGGCATACCTTTAGAACTAGATATGGAAAAAATAGAACCTAATTTATGTGAGAAAATTGAAGTAGAAAGTATAGATTTAACTTCTAAGAATACAACAGATGATTCTTTTTGTAGTTGCAATTGGATTGTTTCACCAAAGTTGATATGCATTGCTACTAAAGAATATCAACCAACTACATCCTGCGAGAATTTTACAAAAGGCTGCCAATGGTCTCCGGATGATACATGTTTATTAGTACCATCAGAAGATTTTAGAATACGTTTATACGAACTTCCAACAATATTTTATTCTAATAAAATACCAGTGGACTTTACAACATGTGATCTTAAAGCTGCTGTAGTTGTTAAGGAAGGAGGACTTATATATGATACTTGCTGGTACCCTTTCATGAATTCATGGAATCCTGCAACATGTTGTTTTCTTAGTACTAGTAAAGACAGTCCGATACATTTATGGGATGCGTTTACAGGAGAATTACGAGCTACTTACAGAGCTTATAACGAGTTAGTATTCATTGTTATGCTTATAATTATTTCATTAAAAATGTTAATTGATTAAATTAAAATATTATCTGTTCTGTAGTGTCGACGAAGTAGCAGCTGCCATTAGTGTTCAATTTATTGATTATGGTAAACAAATTTTTAGCGGTTTTAAAAATGCATTACATATTTTTGATACTAATTATCCTGGACGGCAAATTGAGACCATTAATTTAAAGAAAGATTTTCCAAATATCAGCGGATTGGTATCTTGTATTCGTGAAAATCCGTTAATGCCAGGCTTGGTGGCATTTGGTACATATTCTAAAAGTATTGGTATGTATTGTGTTTAGTATATTTATATTTTTTATGATAGTCGAATTGTGTTTTAATTTCAATCTACATTTTATTTTGTTTATGTTTTTTTTTTTATATTTAGGACTTTACAAAGATACACCAATCTGTATTTTTAAAACAGCAAGTGGTGTGACGCAAATTGAATTTAGTCCGTGTGGAACTAAGTTGTATTCAGCTGTTAGACGTTCCAATGAATTTTTATGTTGGGATCTTCGTAATCCTGGTACTGTACTTTATTCTTTCCAAAAACGGCAAGCAGATACAAATCAGAGAATACAATTTGATATCACAAGTCATGGTCGCCATCTAATATCAGGTATTATATATATTATATTTATTATAATAAAAATTTCATTAGAGATATAAATTTAATTTGCTATTTTTTTTCTGTATAGGAGGTGTAGACGGAAAAATTAATATTTGGGAATTATTAGAAGGTAAAAATGATAATGAAATTGAGAATCCAAAATATGAATTTRAAATATCRAATGATAGCGTGAATGGTGWGAATGTACATAAAAGTTTTCCGATTGTTGCAACAAGTTCAGGACAAAGAATTTRTGATATTGAAGGGGTWAATAGAGATAACAGCGTAAGATTATGGTGGTTCAATTAATTCATTACACCAAATACAAATGCCTTTAATTTATAGATTCAATAGCAATATACTTAATGATAAATTTGTACATTATATATTATTTTTATACATTATTATAGAAATGACTAAAAATATATATTTTACTTTTATTATCACCAAAAATAAGTTTTGTTAAAAACAATGAATGTTAAACCATACATTTAATTGAAGATGATAATTTTTAATAACAWATTTTCAATGTAATTTTGATTTTTTATGCAAAAGAAACACTAGGCAAAGAAACTGAAAAAGTTAATAAGTAATAAGTTAAAGTTAAGTGTGTACATAAATTTATAAAAAATTATATTATTGATAAGTAAAAGTTTAATGTAAGTCTATAAGTAAAAGAGTATATGTACAAAAGTTATACAATACTGATTATTAAAGTACATGTTTAGTGAAATTTCTCGTGGATCTTCTTACTACTSTAACYGGAGCTGAAATTATTACACAATTATTAAGTATATGTATTTAATAATCAATAATTTAACTTATTACTTACTTTTTGGAGTATCCCATGAAATCAAATCTCTATTGGGTGAAGGAGGTTTTATAGGTGTATTATTATCTTGTAAGAAGCTCAATCTACCTTTGCTACATCTAATATACGGTGTCATTGGAAGAGTGAATTTACTTTCTTCACAGGCTTCGCAATCTTCAGCTAAGAAAAGTTATTGTTATTATTTTGTGAACAATAYATTAGTTGTTATTTAAAATCATATTATTATTTTATTTTTACCATTAAASTTCACACTTTTTCGAGAGGATCTTCTTAGCTCTTTTTTTGCATTTACTGGTGTGACATAGATTCCTTTTTTTACATTAACTTCCTTTTCTTCAACATTAATTGACTTCTTTCGTGATTTTTTCTTTGATTTTAGAGGACTCTTATTTTCCTTTTGATTATTTTCATCCTTTTCATCAATTAAATCCTAAATTAATGATTTGTTAAATAAGCCTTTAAAAAAAAAAAAAAAAAGAAAAAAAGCATACTGATATATTGCATCATAAAAAAATTCAATTGCAACTTACTTTAATATTACTTTTTCTACTTCTTGTAGACATTCTGWTTGTAGAGTTTTCCGTTACAATGGTTCTGTTTCTAAGAGTTCTCCTATTAGTTTTATTTTTTGGAGATTCCTCTAATGACATATTTAATATGTTTTGATTC